TATGACGGGTGACGGTAACGCGTAATTCCCAGCGCCCTCAAGAGTTTTCTGATTGTGATGATTATCGGGATTCTACGAGCAGTAGTAGTAGTTCTAGACTACCGTGCGTTTGGGCGAACTCAGCGGAAATTTGTCGACACTTTCGGACAAGCCTAACAAGATTGAGCTTAGAAAGTCACGGGAATGGGTTTGTAAAATGTTGATATTCACCATAACTAACATTATATACGCCTAGTCCTGAGTTTGAACTGGGACCTGTGTTTATTTATTCTCGAGGTCGGAGGTTGTTCCATTTATTATTGCGCTCACGTCTGGGCAAAAGGGCAACTCTCCATTCACCATGTTCACTTTGGCTCTTGCACGGGGATCTGCATGTTTTCCTTGGCAGCAACGTGATAGAAATAACTAAAACCTTCAGATAATTCAGATTTTTGCCATAGACCGCAACCCCTTTAAGTTTTAAGTGTGAAAGATGGACCAATCAGAGAGAAGAATCAAGAATCAGTGGCATCATCCCTACCCTACCTCGAGAATAGTGGTCACACCATAGGCCTACACCAGAAAACACTGGAAAGCTACTGGCAACACTGAAAGAATACCGTAAAACTACATGAAAAACCCCAAACTTCCAGACAATCCTGAAAGCTACCTGTCATAAAACTTGGAAAACAATGAAAATTAGGGCCTACCAGAAAACCCCGGTAAATTAGCGGTAGCGAAAACCAACCAAAAATACCAAATGAAAAATCATCTATGATCACCAAAAAATGAAAAAACGCTGTCAATTACTGGAAAACAAAAGACAACTGCCCCCAAAAAGGCAAACACCAGAAAACTGCCAAAACAAACTGAAAACACTAGAGAACTACAGTACTGATGAACACCCCAAAATTACCAACTCTGCAAATTACCTAAAAATGCACTAAAAGTGCCAGAAAACACCAAAAAACTACAAAAACAGCAGAAAATTACTGAAAAACATAAGAAAATTCCTGAAATAGCAGAAAATTACCAAACAGTGATGAATGCCTTGACCAAGGCTAGCTATGGCTTGGTCTTTTCTCAAAGCATCTTCGTGTAATTCCATAGGTACAAAGACCAGGAGCTCAAGTCTATGCATACATATCCAGCCACAGATTTCACCAAGGCAGTGACCAGCAGTGTGTTTTCGTCCATTTAGAATCAACTGGAACTGTTTCGTGGGTCGGCCACTGGAACACTGGGAACATGGGTGCAAACTACGGGGTGGGGGGCAACGTCAGTCCCATGGCTACGATCTTGCTCTGCCATGTTGCTTCCCACAGTGCCTTGTGCAATCTTACCCCTGGTATTGTACAGTGCATAATTTAAATATCCCACTATTTGGCATATTTCAATTAGGCCATTAGTCAAATGTGTTAAATGCACAACACAGATTTACGCATGCATAACAAGCAGGATAATACCTGGGTGCAAGCACGTACATAACGCTTTTGAGATTCTTTTGAGATTGACTTTGTTTATTATTATTATTCTTATTAATTTTTGACCATGTCAAGGGTCGTGAACAAGACCTGAAAGTCCTTCTAAAATCACTCCCCTGATAAAATGATAAACGATTAAAGATGAAATAAGAAACGCTGTAGTATACTAAAAAAGCTTAAAGTAAAAACCAAATAAATCTGTGCAAAACAAGAATAAAAAGTTGTTGCACCCTAGGCGAAAGAGATAGCACAGACACATATAAAGCAATGACTAAAATGTAGACCAATAAAATAAACAAAACATTAAAAACAGTAACAATAAGAGACTACGAGAAAGGAACCAATTAACTGAAAAAGTAAGCAGTAAAAAAAAAAAAGGTTGTAAAACAAAGAACATAAAATGCATGGTACAAAAATTGAAAATTAAAACAAAACAAAAGAAATAAAAATTTATGAGATGAGACTGGAGCGATGATTTAAAGATACTCAGAAAGGGACTATCAATGACCGTGTGGGGCAGATCATTCTATTCCCTAGCCGTCTGGACAAAATAAGAATTTTTGAGACAGTCGGTTTTAGCGATAGGAAAGTTAAATTTCAAGCTATGATCATTTTGACCAATTCGTGAAGCTGGAACAAACTTATTAAAAGCATTGACATTAATGTTATTCATAATTTTATAGCAAAGCACAAGGCGGAAGAATATTCTTCTTGTTTGAAGACTTGTCCAGCCAAGTCGAGAGAGCATTGAATCATAGCTTGAGTCCCAATCTCTCCACATACATGTATATCTGACACATTGATTTTGGATATGTTCGATGATGTCTGAATGGCTACATCTATATGGTTCTCAAGCCCTGCAACAGAAGTCTGCCTGGGGCCCAATCAAGGAAATATACAATCAGGTGTGCCATACCTCTGTCACAAACAATTTACTCTTGGCCCTTGTTATGTTCAAGCAGGCTGATTTTACTGATGCCATTACAGGACAGGTGCTCTAAAAGTAAGGACTGCCGTGAGCCTTCACAGGGCTTGAGCTACATGTATTCAAGCTAGACCAAAGTCAGAAGTTGAAATTCATTAAAAAGGGAGTAATTTCTAAGGGCTGTTATTAGCTAGGCCTTTAAACAGTAAGGCCTATATGCAATACATGTATTTGGACAGAAGCAAGTTTTCTATTGTGATAGTTTTTGTCATTTCACCCGATAAGTTCCTCAATAGCATGGTTGGCCTGAAAAACGTACATGTATTCATGTGGGCCATCCTCAATTGTTCTGCTATGTGTATATTTCACATATCAGTGTCGTAGTTGAAATCACTTAAGACCTTCACAAGCCCAACACAAGCCCTCGAGTCTGAATTCAAGTCACAAGCTTTTCAAATGAACCCCTACAAAAGCGATCCTTTGTCATTGTTCACACTGTTACATGTACTTGTGATTGGTCTTGTGCATGGGTCTTTCGTCTGGTCTTTTGTCTGGTCTTGTGGATGGTCTTATGCATGGTCTTATGCATGGTCTTGTGCATGGTCTTGTGCATGGTCTTATGCATGGTCTTGTGCATGGTCTTATGCATGGTCTTGTGCATGGTCTTATATCTGGTCTTATGCATGGTATTGTGCATGGTCTTGTGTCTAGTCTTGTGATTGTCTCGACTACAACATTGTCATGTACATGTATATACCTACAGCGCTCCCATCCACAAGTACGAGTAACTAGAGAACCCTTCAAATCTTTTAGCATTTTTCATAAAATCCAGAAATCATGACTAAAAAAGGTAAAAGATGCAATTGTTAAGTTATTGTTACATGTGTGTGGATTAATAACTAGCAAGATACATACAGTTATTATTATTACCGGAAATGGGTCACTTGGGAGACATTCCCATAAGAACGTGCACAAACTTTACTGTCCCATAATTAAATATTCCCTAATCTGATCTGAACCAAACTTTGTATGTTTTCAATTTAGACCCTAATCTATCATCTCTCAAAATTTGGACAATAAAATTCGGCCTCCTTCTGGTAGCCGGGGCATTAGGGAGACATTGAAATGTTTCCCTAATGACCGATGTCTCCCGAAGGTCGAAAAATTTACCACAAAATGTCTCCCTAATGACAATGTCTCCCGAAGGTCGAAAAATTTACCACAAAATGTCTCCCTAATGACCCATCTGTAAGAATTTAACACATGGTACTGTGGGTTGTTGGACCACTACGCTTTTCTGGTCGTAAAATGATTCTGTATGTAGCTAAACTCGGATTGTGCGGTGCTGCTCAGTGACTTTGGTCCGTTGGCTCAGCATGAAAGTTTTCAAGTTTGGAAAGAAATTTCTCTCTTCGTCATTCAGAGCAAAGATGGATAAGGGTGTAGCTGTTGAGGAGGAGCCGTTAACGGAAGATGGGGATACGCCAAGAAAGGCGGCACCTCTGTTTCTCTTCTACTCCTGCAAGACGTCCGGAAGTAGCTTCATGAAGCACAAACTTCTGAACCTTGCCATCCACTGCTGGCCCTACGATGACCACGCTCCAGTCTTCTTCCGGAGAATCAACCACATGGACAGAGGGAAGGGCTTGGGAAAAGGGAGAGGCGAGTATTGTTAGTCGTTTCAAATGATTACCACAGAGCACTCTCTCTACTGGCCCCCTATTGGAGGGTGTTCCCCTGTCTACCCCTCGCCCCCCACTGCTCAGAAATTAGAGAAGGAAATAAATCTGGCGATGTTCCATCTTGGTCGGTGATTCAACTGTGACCGAACCCATAAAGTGACCCCTCCAGAAAATAACAGCCCCAAGTGCCCCCCCGCGTCGGGGCCTTTGTACCCCAGCTAAAGTTGTCTGCCAAATGAAGTAAACTTGCACATACACGAATTTTATTCCTTTGAGGCCATATGTAGTTTTCCCGTTTCATGAGGATTGTGGGAAAAGTCTTGTGTCCAGACTGCGAAATCAACTGAGACATGACATGAGGTACATAGACTGCTCATGGCATTCCTGTTAATCCAAAAACAATGGCAGTATGGGCCAAGTTCAGCCAGCGACAATTTGTCAACTGCTCCGTCCAATTTTTCTGTAGTACCTATCCATGTTTGAAATGTATTGTGGGCGGGGGGTATTATTCCACCCCCATTTCTCCTACCTCGTTGATTTGTTTCTTGCCGTCCTCTTGCCCTTTAGCCCAACAGCCAGTTAAAGGCCAGAAATCCGGGTCGTCAGACGACGACATCACCAGGACACCGGCAGCAGTGCACGTGATAGAGGAATTACTGCAGTGGATCGACAGCACCGTCGACAAGGCCAGTGCTGCATCGGGACTAGCGCTGTATCCAGGTGTGTGGTCTGTCCATGTGAAGAAAAGCTAGAGGTGTGTTTAGCCTTGCAAAGGCAGGCAAGTAAAGGCCGGTGTGAACCGAAATTCTGCCTCTCGCACAAATTGTCCGGCTGGACAACATCTCCTAAAATGACAGGATCATAGATATCACGTCTCCCTCTGGATACTCTGTCTACCTAATTGGTATCGTCTATTACAGGCAATGCCCCTCTGTCGTTTGAGACCTAGGAGGTTGTTCTCTTTTCCAAAAAGACCTTGTGAGTGGTTTATACTGCAATAGTTTGGTGAAAATCACGTCGTTGGGGTTTTTTGTCCGCCTAATAAAATTGATGGCTTGTTAATGACGTGGCATGCACAAGGTACATGTACATATGTTCTGTGTGTGGTGCACTGCCAAAATGGCTTTTCTCTGAATTCTCAATCTTTAACCCTCCTATGATTTTACAGCACAGATGT